TACGGAACGTCAATTAATACAGTAGATGTAGACTATGGAAGTTTAGTAAATACAGTAGATGTAGACTATGGAAGTTTAGTAAATACAGTAGATGTAGACTATAGAAGGGCAGTGAATACAGTCAGTATAAAACAAAGAAGAGCAGTGAATACAGTAGATGTAGACTATAGAAGTATAATAAATACAGTAGATATAGACTATAGAAGGACAGTGAATACAGTAGATACAGAACATATGCAGCATAATACAGCCAAATATATATAGCGAATACACTTGATATACTTAGGGACAGTGAATACAGAACATACTGTATGGTAGGTAGAAAATACAGAGAAGCAGCAACTACAATATACAGAGCCCCACTAAATGCATTCGATTAACAATGTAATATGCAGTGAATACAGTATATATATAAATAGCAGTGTATAAAGTATATGGACAATGTGGATACAATGTAGAGTACAGCGGTAGTGAATATGCAAGATAGAGAATGTAGCAGTGAACATGATACACACACAGCACAGGAGAACACTGTATACAGTAGATATTGAGGAGTAAATACACTATTTTATGCCACACATATACTTAGAATACACACCGGGTGTATCATGGGGGTTACGGGTACAGAATATATAGGGTTTACATGTATAGAACATAGAGGGGTTTACGGGTACAGAATATATAGGGGTTACGGGTACAGAATATATAGGGGTTATGTGCAGAGAACATACAGGGTTACACATGCAGAATATATAGGGTCACATGCACAGAATACATGGGGGTTACATGTATAGCACATATAGGGTTACTGTAGACACAGAACATAATTAAGGACATATAAAATATAAAGCACCAGAAAGTAGAATCGATATGTAATATAAAGCAGATAGAGAATACACAGGAGGAATAAGTCCAGCACACGTAGAATGTATAGGAGCAGAACGTATAAGAGATTTCTCATATAGGGCAGAGGATACAGCAGATACAGAATACACAGGAGGAATAAGCCCAGTACATGTAGAACATATAAAAGCAGAAAGTAGAAAAGATACATAACATACAGGGCAGTACATAAAGCAGATATAGAATATACAAAGGAATAAGCCCAGTATATATAGAATATACAGGAGCAGAAAGCAGAATAGATAACGGAAGAATAAGAACAGTGTATATAGAATACAGAGATTCAGAAAGTAGAATACAACTCTCATAAAGAGGGAAGATGATAGAGTATGTACAGAGTATACAGGAGGAATTGACACAGTGTATACATGAGGAATAATGGACACATTGTATATAGAATGTATAGGATCAGATAGTAGAATACATTTATAGGAGGACAGACAGCATACAGGAGGAATACACATTGCATGCAGAATATGTAGGATCAGATAGAATAGATATACAGAGGACAAACACAGGAGAAATAGGCACAGTGTATCCAGAATATATAGGATGAGATAGTAGAATACATATAAAGGAGGGCAGACACATAGTATACAAGAGGAATATGCAGTGTATACAGAATATATAGGATAAGATAGATTAGATATACAGAAGACAAACACAGTGTATACAGAATATATATATATATATATAGGAGGGGATGGGGCAGTGTATACAGGATGTATACAGAATATATATATAGGAGGGGATGGGCAGTGTATACAGGATGTATACAGAATATATATATATAGGAGGGGATGGGCAGTGTATACAGGATGTATACCGAATATATATATATATAGGAGGGAATGGGGCAGTGGATGGAGGACGGATGGGGCAGTGTATACAGGATATATATAGGAGGGGATGGGGCAGTGTATACAGGATATATAGGAGGGGATGGGGCAGTATATACAGGATATACCCTGTTTCCCCGAAAATAAGACCTACCCTGAAAATAAGACCTAGCACTATTTTTGGGAATTGCTAAAATATAAGACCTACCCCGAAAATAAGGCCTAGTTGTGACCATTCCCAGCGCCGGTGGTGGCATAAGGGGGAACTTGAAGAGCCGCAGGAGAGAATCAGCAGTGCCAATGAAGCCAGCGCTAGAGGAAGTGAGGCGGCACCGGAGGGAGCAGAGCCGCATAACTGATGTTTCCTCTTTAGTGCCGGATCCTGCCGCAGGCGGAGTGATACCAAATGCACTCCGCCTGTGATGAATTCATAGTGAAAGCGCACTTCGCTCATTCTGGCCAGCGATTGGTTACCAAATTGCTCTTGGAAAGGTACGGCACCGGATTGCCCTGATCACCCTATTCTTGACTTTGCCATTTTGGATTATTTAATTTTGGATTGTTGTACATGAAAAAAAAAAGTAAGACCTACCCCGAAAATAAGACCTAGTGTGTTTTTTTGAGCCAAAAAATATATAAGACAGTGTCTTACTTTCGGGGAAACACGGTATATAGGAGGGGATGGGGCAGTGAATGGAGGATGGATGGGGCAGTGTACACAGAATATATATAGGATGGGGCAGTGGATGGAGGATGTATACAGAATATATATAGGATGGGGCAGTGGAGGGGATGGGGCAGTGTATACAGGATATATAGGAGGGGATGGGGCAGTGTATACAGGATATATAGGAGGGGATGGGGCAGTATATACAGGATATATAGGAGGGGATGGGGCAGTGTATACAGGATATATAGGAGGGGATGGGGCAGTGTATACAGGATATATAGGAGGGGATGGGGCAGTGTATACAGGATATATAGGAGGGGATGGGGCAGTGTATACAGGATATATATAGGAGGGGATGGGCAGTGTATACAGGATGTATACCGAATATATATATATATAGGAGGGAATGGGGCAGTGGATGGAGGACGGATGGGGCAGTGTATACAGGATATATATAGGAGGGGATGGGGCAGTGTATACAGGATATATAGGAGGGGATGGGGCAGTATATACAGGATATACCCTGTTTCCCCGAAAATAAGACCTACCCTGAAAATAAGACCTAGCACTATTTTTGGGAATTGCTAAAATATAAGACCTACCCCGAAAATAAGGCCTAGTTGTGACCATTCCCAGCGCCGGTGGTGGCATAAGGGGGAACTTGAAGAGCCGCAGGAGAGAATCAGCAGTGCCAATGAAGCCAGCGCTAGAGGAAGTGAGGCGGCACCGGAGGGAGCAGAGCCGCATAACTGATGTTTCCTCTTTAGTGCCGGATCCTGCCGCAGGCGGAGTGATACCAAATGCACTCCGCCTGTGATGAATTCATAGTGAAAGCGCACTTCGCTCATTCTGGCCAGCAATGGGTTACCAAATTGCTCTTGGAAAGGTACGGCACCGGATTGCCCTGATCACCCTATTCTTGACTTTGCCATTTTGGATTATTTAATTTTGGATTGTTGTACATGAAAAAAAAAAGTAAGACCTACCCCGAAAATAAGACCTAGTGTGTTTTTTTGAGCCAAAAAATATATAAGACAGTGTCTTACTTTCGGGGAAACACGGTATATAGGAGGGGATGGGGCAGTGAATGGAGGATGGATGGGGCAGTGTACACAGAATATATATAGGATGGGGCAGTGGATGGAGGATGTATACAGAATATATATAGGATGGGGCAGTGGAGGGGATGGGGCAGTGTATACAGGATATATAGGAGGGGATGGGGCAGTGTATACAGGATATATAGGAGGGGATGGGGCAGTGTATACAGGATATATATAGGAGGGGATGGGGCAGTGTATACAGGATATATATAGGAGGGGATGGGGCAGTGTATACAGGATATATATAGGAGGGGATGGGGCAGTGTATACAGGATATATATAGGAGGGGATGGGGCAGTGGATGGAGGATGGATGGGGCAGTGTACACAGAATATATATATGATGGGGCAGTGGATGGAGAATGTATACAGAATATATATAGGATGAGGCAGTGGAGGGGATGGGGCAGCGGATGGAGGATGTTTACAGGATATATATAGGATGGGGGCAGTGGATGGAGGATGTATACAGAATATATATAGGATGGGGCAGTGGATGGAGGATGTATACAGAATATATATAGGATGGGGCAGCGGATGGAGGATGTATACAGAATATATATAGGATGGGGCAGTGGAGGGGATGGGGCAGCGGATGGAGGATGTGTAGGATGGTGGAAGCTCTGAGCACATATATATAGAGAGAGAGGGAAGATATGAAGGAGGGAGATGGATGCAGGTGACAGGGGACAGTGAGAGTCTGTGATTAGCTCCTGCCTCTGATCTTCCATGGACTGAGCTGGTGTGAGATGAGCTCTGTGTCTGGGGAAATGACAGTGATCCATTCACACAACCAGCGATCACCCCTTCCCCCCATCATCACTTACCTCCTTCTCCAAGCACAGGGCTACTCATCCCCCTCCCCCATGATCGCCTCTGCTTTGATACATTTTAATCCTATGTGATAAAAGTCCTCTCCCGGTTTGGCACCCCCTCCCTTCTCCTCCCCTCGGTAGCTGGAGCAAGAGATTTAAAAAAAAAAAAAAGCCATCCTCCTGCTGCAAGTAATTCGGGCTGTGCAGCTTTAAGAGCGGCGTGGGCGCGCGTGTGCTAGACGCCCAGTGTCAGTGTGCGCGCTCCCGCGCTCTCTCTCCCTCCGAGCTTTAAAGTCTCCGGCTGGAGCGGCTCACATGTTACTTCCTGTATGGGAGAATGGAAAGCGGCCAGCCTCGGTGTGATCAGCAGAAGCCCGGAGTCCCGGAGCCCAGCCTGGACTAGAGACCCCCCGGATCCCCGACTAAAGTGGACTACAGAATTCCCCCCTCTTCCCCAATCCTCCTGGATCCAGGACTAGAGAGCAGATCTCGGACTTCCCTCCACCTTGGACCTGCTGGAGATAGCTGCATGCATGAGATCCAGGGCTCTCCGCGGCTCTCCAACTTCCCAGAGCCCTCCCAGTGAGCAGACCCCCGATCCCCGGGCCCCCCCGTGCCGGTGACCCCCACCTGAACGACACCCACACTTTTTTTGGTGGGGGCTTTTTGTCGCCTGGGAGGCCAATCAGTCAACAAGTTGCCCCGGTCCTCAATGTGCATGGTGTCATGCGGAGGCTACTGCAGCCGTGCTGGTGGATCTTGTTCCTGAAAATCTCAACCTCGGTCCTGCACTATGTCTTGTGCTACCCTGGTAAGTCTAGAGGACCTGTCTGGTGGCTGGATGAGTGGGGTGGGTAGATGGAAGCGGGTACCCCTGGAGCTGATGGATCGTTAGACTTCCCTTTGCCCCAATTCCTTGGCCTTTGACTGCCCTTGCAGTGGCTTGATGGGACTCCTTCCACCAAGCCACCTTCCGGGGGCCCCTAATGCCCTTTTCCTGCCTGCTGTCCACATTCCAGAGCTGCTCTTATTTCTCAGCTTGTAGTTCCCTGTTCATAGACGGCAATATGGACTGCTTGCTTTGCTGCTGCCTGCCCAAAGTCCAGCTTCCCATGGTCCCCTCTTCCTTGTGTTTTGTCCAATGATATGTCATAGTTGGAGAGGACACCCCCCAAAATCTGATTTGCCTTCATTAGATCGGGCACTGCTGGGCTCTAACAAGCTTTCCCAGAATCTAGCATGCGTGGCCGGGATCTAGTCATGATCTAGCATGCGTGGCTGGGATCTAGTCATGATCTAGCATGCGTGGCTGGGATCTAGTCATGATCTAGCATGCGTGGCTTGGATCTAGCCAGGATCTAATATGCATGGCCTGGATCTAACATGCGTGGCTGAGATCTTGCCGGGATCTAACATGCATGGCCGGGATCTAACGTGCATGGCTGGGATCTTGCCGGGATGTAACATGCATGGCTGGGGATGTAACATGCATGGCCGGGATCTAACATGCATGGCCGGGATCTAGCCGGGATGTAACATGCATGGCTGGGGATGTAACATGCATGGCCGGGATCTAACATGCATGGCCGGGATCTAGCCGGGATGTAACATGCATGGCTGGGGATGTAACATGCATGGCCGGGATCTAACATGCATGGCCGGGATCTAGCCGGGATGTAACATGCATGGCTGGGGATGTAACATGCATGGCCGGGATCTAACATGCATGGCCGGGATCTAGCCGGGATGTAACATGCATGGCTGGGGATGTAACATGCATGGCTGGGATCTCTGTAGGTAAAATATGGGCACCCATCAAATCTAGAAACGGTTCCCGGTGTGCTCCATGGATCATCTACCCGGTGCCCATGACCTGCCACGTCTCTTGAACGCAGGCTTATACTTTGTTGCCCGGGCACACTAATGCCATTTGTTTTATGTCTCTAACACTGCTCACTGATTGCCCACCCTCCTTCCAGGGCTTCTGTTGCCTCCTGGCTGGAGTAGCTGGCAAGCATCTGGGCACACACTCCTGTGCAGCTACTACCCAACTGGCAGCACATCCCAGTGTCAGGCTGGAAGTGTGTTTAGAGGTGACTTCCAGGAGCTCAGCCTCTCCTGGAAATATTGAACAGATCCCTTGTAGGATTTTGTCTCCCTCCCCCCCCCTCCCCCCTTTTAGGAATCTGCTATGTGGCTGCTTTTTGGTGCAGTGCTCGCCTAATCAAAGCAGAAGGCTGGGGCAGTGCAGATTGGGGGGTGCCAATCTGGGGTGACTGATGCACTTTAACCTCAAAGGGCTGTGCTGAGTGTGGTGGTCATGGCACTAAACCTATGCGTGATCTGTAGAGCAGACCTTTGTTTCAATACTGGAACCCCTTTAGTATCCCCCCCCAGTTCTCCATCCTGCATCTAGATCGCCATAAAACTGTATCCCCAAGTGATCCTCAGCCCAGCTCCTAGAGAGTTAACAAGTTGTTACATATTTGCTAGCCTGTGATTGATACAACGTGTCTCACAGAGGAGCATTTCCTTTACTGGCCTCTTAACACTGAACATCAAAGAAGAGGAGCCATTCCTGTGTTGTAGTGCACACATGTTGGCTGGGTAGGGTGGACGGAGTTGCTGGCTGTATGTATTTAATGGCACTAATGATGCCTTATTTACTGGGTGTCAGTTTGCTGCATCTGCTGTAATTCGGCTCTTCGGCCACGAAGAGGGAGATGACACAAGCGCTCTCCTGTCCACAAAGCACATGAAATGCTCTATGAATGCAATCATTTCGCAGACAGGAGACGGAGGTCACTCCAACAACGTTGAATTTAATATGTAGTGACTGTTTAATACCAGGGGGGGCGCTGCTGAGCCGTCCTTCATAGCCAGGGAGTTATTCAATTCTTTCCTGGTTTCCACAAAAAAAAAAAATTGCTGGAACGATGTCTATAGACTACGATGGTTGGCAAAGGGGGAAAAAATGGATTAAATCGGAGCAGACGTAGGAATGAGTAAAATGGAAAGTTTGTGCAGCCCCTAAAACTAGAGTTCATGTGCAAAGAATTACAATGTATAAAAACATGTAAATATATATTTTTTTACTTCTTACATTGATGATTCTGTTCTTGTGCTGTCTTGTGTCTTTTTTAATTCATGGTTTGTTTTTTATGTGCAAATTTTTATTAGAAAAATACCAAAATTGGGCAACCGATTTGTATGCAAGACTGTCTTTTGTATTGATCCATGCTCTGGTACGCTCAAATAGTGCAGAGTGTCCTCTTCGCTTCGAAGGTCTGCAACTTGGCAAAGTCTGTGGGTTTTTTTTTTTTCTCATTTCTCCGACATGGTAGTGACATATATTGCATAGTAATTGGTAACTTTTTGTTTAGATTATTGAACACTTCCTTTTTTATTTGCTAGTCAATCATTTAAAAGCCCGGGGAAAATTCAGATATGCTTCCAAGGGTGTAACGGTGGGACTTTTTCCTAGGTCCTATGGCGTTCCGCTCTTTTAAATGACATAGACATGCAGATGGGTTGAAATTTGGAACGTAAAGTGTTCATTAGAGCTATAAATTTTGGCAAAGCTTGCTTTTTTTAAATTATTATTATTATTATTA